CAACATTTTAACTTCCACTGGGTGTTGTGGAATTTGGATGGCAGATGGGAGGTGAGGGCAAGAGCTGGCATGTGTTGCAGTGGTCTGATGGTGACTGGCTAGCTGCTGCACACATATAGTACAGGTTTTGCTGTTACTTGCTGAGCCCGGGTCTGCAGCAGTAAACAGGGCAGGTGTGGTCTCAAGCGCTGTTCTCTGACTGTTCGTTCTGCTTGTTAGCCCAGGTCTTGTCACGATATGGACGTGTGGCAGGTGAAAAGTGGTGGAGAAAGCTCTCTGTTCAGGAGACAGCAAAGACCAGGGCTGTTGCTGATAAGCAGTACAGAAGCGTGATCCACATAGGGAAGGAATTCAGCTTGCATCTGCTGAGCCATTTACTCTGAGGCTGGACTATGAGCCCTGACCAGGTCTTTTTACTGAAACAAACATAAGAGACAGTAGATGAGATGAGCATTAACTGTTAGTATGTAACAGTTTTAATATCTAGTCGTAAGAGTCCCTACCTCTTGGAAAATTCAGTTTTGTAATCTCACACATTACCTATTTATTTATAGCTTGAAATCAGTTCTTTTACTAATGTGTTCCTTTCTCTCCATCTGTTTCTCAGCTGAACCTAGAAAATATATCCCAGCTGTTGTAGTTGGTGTTGTTGGGATGGGTCACGTACCTGGAATTGAAAAGAACTGGAACTCTGACTTAAACATTCAGCAAATAATGAGGTAACATTTATCCTTTCCTGTGTGGTGACATAACAGCTTCTGTTGCTAAAAGACAGCAGTGATTGGTTTGTTTGGGGTTTTTTGGTTGTTTGTCCCAGCATGAACATCACTGCTGTCATCACTGCCCTGTCAGCTCACTGACTCACTGTGCAGCGCTTGCAGATTGTGCTTGCAGCAAAGGAAAAGAAAATATCAAAGGAAAAAAACTAAATAGTTGGATATAGAGGGAAGTAGAGATGAGAAGATGCCCATGTCTAAAAAGAAAATTCATTGATCCACATTTAAGGCTTTTAAAATGAGAATTCAAATGAGGGCTGTAGAAGATGGTGAAAACAAAACCAGGCTTCCAGTCTAGCTTAGGTAACTATAAACTGTTGGATTCAAAGCTTTTGTTGTGTCAGGACACTGCTGGCTCTGGCAAGCTTACTATCACAGTTGCTGATAACCTATTTTTAACTGTAGATATATATAAGTAATAACATGTTTTAACATGTATACCTAAATACGGGCTATTTTAAGCCATGTATCTTGTGAACTCTCACTCCAAAGTACCTATTAAAATAGATGTATGTGCTTTGTAGAAGAAGGAACTGAAGAACCAAAATGTTCAGACTATGTGTATCCTATAAAGCCACAAAGGTCAGGAGTTTAGAAATGTAGGAGGAATTATAGTATGACCTGCTAGTACTGGTTGGCGGTGGTTTAGCGTTAATGGAGCCTTTCAAATATTGGCACTTTATCTTATCTGTTTACTGTGTTTACGTAAGCACCTCACCCATCTCTTCAGAGACTCGGAAAACCAGAAAAGACTGTGCCCCACCTGAACAGTGTGTTTAGGCATCTAAAATATGATTTAGAGAAAAATATAAATGGCCTTGCCTAGCCATTTTATAAGTCTTTTTCAAGGCTAAGCCTCACCTGGAGTCACAAACTAGATGTCCATATCCCTCTGCACCCTCGCAAATAACCTGTAAAATGAAGTTGCCCCAATCCATATAACTGTACAGATAGCATTGGTTGCATCATTGACGTTACAGAACTGAATAGCCAAAAGCCCGACTATGTGTCCTCAAGTTTACCTATAGAGGGTCTTTTTCATCAAAGTACCGGCTCTTTGACTTGATTGTCTTTACTGTGCCAGTGCCATAACTAAGTGGAATGGTTACCAGTATCTTTCATAAGACATAAGTATTGCATTAACTTGACTTTCTAAAATAATATGAAGCAAATGACATAAGATTACAGTATTTGAGACTCATTTCTCATTAAACTTTTTTACCCCTTGTGCTGTTGCACTGCAGTTGCAGGTTTTGTGTTAGTGGCTGTCACCTCTCTAAAGTGAAAAGTTTTAAAAACTTTCACAGGTATTTAATTAGGTTTTACAAGTTGCAAAGTGATCTGGATAGAAACATAAAGATTTCTCAGACTTCCAGTTTTTAAGTTCATGCGCTGAACCTGACTCTGAGTGTACCTTACTATTTGCTTCAGGCTGTTATGAATTGATTTTTTTAAGTTGTGCTGAGGGACTGGAATAGAGGAAAAAAATAGGTAGAGAAGCATCTGAGAAGGTGTAAAGGGATGCATTTACCCCATCCTTGTTCAGTGTGTATGGTTTTTTAAAACTCTTCCTGTATATTCCCTTAATATGCAAAATCTTACCAGTAATAACTTTGCCCTAGTTTGAGCACATGGATCCAAAGTCAGTCTAGTTGTATCCTAATCTCGGCGCATCCAACCTGGTTTGAGTGTGCCCGTAATGTTTTTGCACTACTGTCACTGACTGCTTCTGAATACACGAGAAACGTTTTCTAGATAAAAATAAATGAGTACTTGTGGTGGCTCTGAGAAGACACACGGAGCCCTCCCCATCCCCTGTGAGGATTATCCGAGTTGCGGTGTCGGCATTCTGTGGGTGCAGGGCCAGCTCAGCTACTGCAGAGCCCGTTAGTGAAGGTGCAGGGCTACTTGTGCCTGTTGCTGTGCTTTCAAAGCCAGCTTTATTTTGAAGGTAATATTAACTGTCTGCTTCATATGCTGAGTTAATAAGACTGCTTGAAGGCAGGAGTACACCTGGTGTGCCTTTTGTCCTCTGCCCTCCTGGTTCTGGGTGGCCAACGAAGAGACTTCCAAGTGACTCTGAAGATCTCAAAGCCAGCAATACCTGCCAGACCGGAGACAGCTTTGAGCGAAGCCTCTCTGATTTGTCTGCACTGTCCTCTGCAGCTGCAAAGGCCAAGAGTGCTGCAGGGGCTTGTCCTCTGCCGGCTCATGGTGGAAGCTGCAGCTAGGCTGGTATGCCTGCCTGGCATCACCTTGGTGAAACACTGCCCCGAATCTGTGCAGGGGTCAAACTCGCTCCAGAGTCGCCCCTTCTGGCCACACAAACTTGACCAGGTCCTGACACGCATTACCCGGAATATCCAAGCTGTTTTCCTCCGTTACCCTGAATGACAGCGAGTTGACTGTCTTCTGACTTCTGCCTCTGTGCAGAGATATGCATAGTAATGTTATAAACAGTTCAATAAACAATATTAACTTCTAGTATTCTTCAAGAAGTCTTGGTGTTGTCTTAGTTATTTTGATTGGGTGATGGGCAAGTCAAGGTCCATAGCCATTAAGAGTGGCATCACACATACGTGGAAAAACCTTTCATATTTGTTGTTGTTACTGTTTAATTTGGATGTAGCACTTGAATGTGAAAGAATACGTTGTTCATTCATGACACATCTATTACCTGAAAGTCTCCCGCACTGTAAGGGGGAAGGGGAGAAAAGATCCTTGATTTGATAGGAAAATGCCTGCTCTTTCCCATTGCTTTCATTGCTAACATTGTTTTCTGTGTTCTGCTTCAGTGTGCCTCCTCCATCAGCTTCAAGTAAGATTTTCAAATTTGTCATAAAAGCAACAGTTTTTGGACTGATGGGATACGGCTGCTACCGAATAGGTCAAAGGACAGTTCAGTTTATTCTCTCGATGCCAGCAGCACAGAGCTATCTTCAGAAGCTGACAGAAGTAAGGTCTCAGCATTGAACATCAAGTGGAGGCACTGTGTGAAGCAGGTGGCTGAAAAAGGGTGATAGAGGCAACAAATGTGAACTGGACTGAATGAAGAGGGAGATGAAGATTCGAGTCAGAGATCATTGATGCTGAGCAGCGCTGAATCACTGTATAATAAAAAAATTGATACTAAAGTTACACCAGCTATGATCTAATGAGTAGGTTTGCTGGTAAGTGTGTTGCATGAAACCACGTGATTCCAGATTGAGGTAAAAGAAATATGTACACAAATATATATATTATATATATGCATACTGTATATATAATATATATCGCTGATGATGTAGTACAGACAGCTTAAAGAGTGTATGTTCATGACCTTTTCCAGAGGAACAGAACAACACAAAGTAACCTAATTGGCTGCATTTGCTTCGAAGTTCAGGGACACTTGTCTTGAGTGATCTTTGCTTTTTTTCCTTAGGTATAATAATACCTAGTGGTCATTTCTGGTGCCAGACACTTTTACACATAATTTAGAAGGACATCTTCTCAATGTGTGTTTTATACTTAAAACATTTAGGCTTTTTTTTAAACTTAAAAGAGCTTTCCAAAAATTTCAGAATTGTACAGGCTGTCATATGTACACTGCTCAAATTTTTTACAAGCCTTACTGAAGAACAGGAACGTTGCCTTTAGATTGCATCCCTTGTCGTCACCACCAGTTGAATTGTCTTTCTCCTGCATAGAGAAGGTATAGCCACGCCATCAGAACGCAATGTGGTTTGTGTCGGATGTTTACAGGACGCTCTGTTCCTTTAGATTAGCTTATTTAAACTGTATTATTTAGCCAAACCCTGCTGGATTCAGTATTGTAAATTTAAGAGACTAGAACTACTGTACAATTTACTTTTGTTTCTCGGACTTTTCATTATTGGGACAAGAAGTCTGGAATTGATAGTACCTGCCCCTCATTTTTGATACATGAAAATATTTTATTTATCAATGTAATTTTCTCAGTGGATGAATATTTTAATCTATTTAATAGAAAAGCAGTGTTCAATTTAGTTTTTCAAACTAGCTGTAGCATTTTGTTTGGGTTACCTGCTATTTATACATAGAATTATGGGTACTTCAAACTGCTGTGTTTTTTTCTTTCTTGGTTTTCCAGGACAGCCATCCATCATCAGTCTTTTTTTAATCCTAGGTTTGTATTTCATAGGAATTTCTTTGGTACCCTGTATTGAGGATTGTCAATGATTGTAAAGTGCCCTCTGCAATCAGCTAGTCCCAGTTCAACAATACAAATAACTGCAATTGTCATATCAAAGTTTTAACCTGATGTATTTGAATGGAAGAGTCCCGTTTGCTCCTCAGGCTCACATACCGTTGCTCATGGCTTAAAGTGAAGTTTTTATCTGTATTAATTTCTTTTGGAAATGAAAGATAGGAACCAGTGTGTGAGGCAGGAGGAGGAAAAGGTGATGGTGTGTTTTGTTTCTTTGTTGTTTTCAGTCAGTTCAATAAAATCAACAAACCCCTTTTAGTAGGGTGTATTTCCAAAGCCTTGTGTTGGAAATCGTCCCACATGGTCTGTTGTTTGCTGAAAGTACATACATGTATCTTCTGTGCAGTGTTGTCTTTTTCAAGCTTTTTTAATGAAATTAAGGGTCTAATGCTTTTCTCTGTGACGGCATTGACTTGCTGGGAGCTGGTCTGTCCATGCAACCTGATGCTTTTCTGCCTTGCACTTTGAAAATTTTATGAGTCCCAGTGCAGCAAATCATTTAAGTGCATGTTTCTCTTGAAACCTATTAAACCTAACCTGATCCTGCAGAGCTCTTAAGACGATGCTAGGTGCTTGCCTGGATCTGGGCTGTACAGTTGTGCAGGCAATAAACCTTAGCAAGTGAGAATGGCAGCAATTCACACTTCTTGGACACAAAGTGTAAATGATAATACAGTGGAGGCGGGTCCTTTTATTTTCCGTCTATCAGTGCTTAAGAAATCACCAGCCATCTCTAGCAAGAGGAAAAGCAGCATTTGTAAACAATTTATAGAAGACTAGAGTGACTGCCTGGATTTTGATTCCTGATTTTTTTTTTTAAAGGTTTAATGTATTGTTTACAATTAAGCAGTCCTATTTGAATAATTCTATTCAATTTTATGTACATTTTTAAAAGATGAAAGCAAAAGCTTAAGCTCATTCTTCTCGTGGCTTTACTGACCTACCAAAATAATGTTTTGTTGGTTGGGTTTTTTTGAGAATTTTTAGCTGGTAGAATTCAATATATTGATGTTTTGCTTTAAGTTATCTACAGATTTTTAAGGTATCTGCAGATATTTTAAAAGCTCTGTAGATCTTTGATATCTGTGCTCAGGTGATTTTACACAAAGGAAAACAAATCTAAGGTAAATTTTAGATATGAGCCTTAAACTTGGGTGGGACTAATGCTAAATGATTGTCATGGAGCATTCTTGCAGACTTAATGTTTTATGCTTTTTAGCCAGAAGTGATTACCATGTAAGTTGTGGGTTCATTATTCAGTTATTCTCTCCAGTTAATACCTTAAGTCTACTTTTTCACACTCTTTTTATGAAGCATATCAGCAGATTCTTCAAGGAGCTTGTTTGTAGAAGGAAAATTTGCAATTTATCTTCCCAGTATTGCAAACTGGCAGATCATATGCATGCACTGTTTACTCAGTGGCACTGGAAAGCCTGATGAATTTGCCGAACTAACAATCCTATGAATCCATACACAAATGCTCAATGTTGTATATTCAATGTGTTGTACTGTGTATGTAACACAATCTGGTTTAGGTCCATTCTTTTCTGTTCTAGTCAGTTCTTTCAGTGTTAACAGCATCCTGTAAAACTTAAATATATGTTGAATTGTCCCAGCCCCGCCTCAACCTTATGAAGCCATATTGTATTTTTTTGGTGACATGTACATCTGTTTTATGCATTTGTACATGTGATGTAAATTTGAAGTATTTTTAACAATGTGTGCCTTTAAAGTGATTTAAAGTAAACAGCAGTATGTTCTATGATATAAAAAATAAAATATTTTAACCACCATTTCTGTTGAAGGCATTTGTTTTCCTTATTAATTCAGTATTTTTGAGAACAAACACTGGTTAGCTAGATCTAGTACATGATAATTTCACTATCTAACACATTTTTCTGAACAAGAATGTCAGTTGGAGTAAATACCTCCCACTGAGAGGCAGCTGAGTGTCATGCTGAAGTAGGGAAACTAGTTTACCTGCCTACCGTATGGAATCAGTTAAGAGGAAAGGATGAGTTTCCCTGCCCTACTGAACATATGTAGGGAGACTGACTTTTCAACCTGAGTACATAAATTCAGAGTCATTTTTGTTGTTGCTTTTCTTCTAACATCTCTGCAGTGCTCGGTCGTGCAAGGAATCGATGGCCTTAGTCCCAGTCCAGCAAAGTGCTCAAACACTGGCCTGACATCAGGCACAGTCACTTGTGCTTACAGTGCTGTCCTCTGCATGGGAATTAAAGACCCTTTAAGTGGAAAAGCTGTTGAATTTAGTGGCAAAAAGAATTTAATCTTTCAATTGAGCCAGGTAAATCAATATTACCATTACTTTAAAAAAAAAGGTAATAAAAATCCCATATTCATACTGAAGTAAGTAGATGTGATAAGCCGTATTCCAGACAGATAATGCACCAGGTGCATAGTCTGCTGATTGCGCGCTTTGTCAATCAGTGGTCCATACTTTTTGACCAAACGTGTGAAGCGAAGTGTAGTCCTGATTTCCTTCATCAGGCAAAGTTCCCTTCGGTTGCACATGAAGCTGCGTCTGCAAAGTAGTGCTGGGTTAGCTGTGTAGGTGGAAGAAAAAAAAAAAAGTTACTCTAGTCAAAACCTGGTGCTGGCAGATGATGTGCTGCACAGCACGTGTGCTACCAAGCACTGCTGGCTCAGGCAGCCTCAGCTTTGCACACCCGCACACATGGAAGGCAGCTGCCTCCTGTCAGAGGGTATTGTTCACCAGCGTTATGTGCACACTGCCGGCCTAGGTCGTGTTTATGATGTGTCTTTTCTATACTGAATACTGAACCAAATTTAAAAAACATTGATTTTTGAGGTGGATTAATATTGCCTGGGTTTCCACTGGAAGCTGTTTTTCTGTGTGTATTGTAAAATATCTAAAAAGGCACTGAGAAATATATCAAGTTATCTCAAAGTGCCAAGCAGTAGTGGAACTACACATGGAAAAGAAGCAACACACTGTCACTTGTGTAACTTTAAGATACTCATGTACTTATTTCCCTGTTTCTTTCTAAAACTGAAATAAACTTTAATTTTAGATGTGAGCGTTTTGAGACTGATTTTATTGGGAGACTTGGGGGGTTTTAAGTATTTGCAGAGGGGTCACTTCTCTGGCTCTGATGGACAGACAGACTTCAGCACGGTGCTGAGCCCTTTCACTTGGCTGTGCAAATGTGCATGGAAGAGATCAACCACAAGGCATGAGTAGCTCCAAAGACACAAAGCAGAAATTGGTCTCCTGACTCTTCAGGTGTAAAAATACAACTGCTGTGCATGTCCCCACAGCAGCAGGTCTGTTGTGTCCCTTTGTATGTGAAAGGGGAGGGAGAACAGCTGAAGCTCTTCAGCAGGGACCA